CCCAGAGCAGGAGTCAGCCAGGGAGCTCTAGCCCAGCCTGGCCTGGCAACTCTGCATTTCCTCTGGCCACCAAGAGGGGGAAGGGCCCCAAGAACTGGCGGCCACCAGGCTCAGACCAACACAGATATGCCTGGACCATTGTGGTGACCAAGGAGCACCTTGAACTGTGTGGGTTTGCAAATCATTGGGAGGTGACACTGACCATGGGATGGATTGGGGGCTGACTGGGTGGCCCAGGCCTCTCCAGTGGACAGCTGGACAGTCACTGAGACACAGGAGTCAGGCTGGGGACAGGTCCGCAGCAGCTGAGGTTTAGGACACATGTGAGGAACTCCGAGGACTGACCTTGGGGGCCACCTGGGCCTGCCCTGCAGGAAGCCAGACATCAGTACTGTGCACCTCGCTCCCTATCCGTCCTGCCTGAGGGGCATCCAAGAGACACCTCAGACTTCCTCACCCACTGGTCCTAGGCCCTCAGGGTCGGGAAGCACGCCTCACACCCTGCTCCCACGGGAATCAGGCCCGGCTTGCGAACGGCAGCAGGGTCCCCAAGAACCCAGGCCCGGCGGGGGCTAGGATGGGGCTTAGAGCCAGACGGAGAACCATAGTGTTCTGAGGGGCCCTGAGGCAGGCCCAGGGCCGGGACACACCCCCCCCCCCCCCCCCCCCCGCCGCCACCCAAGGACGGGAACAGAGACACAGTTCCTGGTGCTTCTGATCTTAGGCAAGGCCTTGATCCCGGCAGAGGCAAAGCCGCCACTTCTCTCTTGCTGAGGCAGACTGTGAGGTCCAAGGTGGGCAGCCATGCAAGGTGGGCCTCGGGACTGGGCGGAGGCTGGTCTTGGTGCACCGCCCAGACCTGCTCCCATTCACTCATGGTCACTCAGCGGGCTCTGAGACGCTGCTGGCGACAGTGGGGCAGGGCCTGGGCTTGGCCGGAGCACGCAGACCAGGCCCACCGGCAGGGGTCTGCACAAGCCCAGCTGTGACTTGAATCCCTGCAGGGTGGGGCCGGGGTCCCCATGTGCCTTAAGCCGCTTTGACCCAGCAGCCCCCCAGCCAGGGGTCCTGAGCTCACCCAGAAAGAAAGCAGACACTGATGACCTCAGGAGGCCTGGCCTCTGTCTCTCCCTGACCGCTCTGTGAACCTCAGTTTCCCCATTTACACGACGAGGAGGACCTGAGCTTTAGGGTCCCGGGACCACTCTGGTCCAACCTCCGCTGTAAGGTCTGGGGTGACCACCAGGTGGCACCCGGCACCCGGTAAGAAGGCAGCGTGGGCTGGGGAGGGCGGCGCTCAGCCTCTGCTGGCGGAGGGCTGCGCGCGGCCTCGGGGAGGCCATGTTCCCCCGTGGTCCCAGGGCCCACTAGGCTGTGGGATCACCAGCGGGGGAGGGGGGTGGACGTGGGGCGGATTCAGTATCAGCCAGGCCACCCCCGCGGGAGGCAGGCCCCTTCTTCCCTCACCACACCCCCTGGGTGGGTCCAGTGCCCCCGTGGCAGGCAGGGGAGGGGAGGGGGGAGGAGGGGGACATGGGACAGCCCACCTTCCAGCCACCGGAAGGACCGCCACCCACTGCCCCTCCCATGTGCTGTGCGGGGTGGGGGGGGGGTCTGACTTCTGGGCTGACGTCCAACCCCATGTCTGTTGGGACTCACCCCACCCCCACCTCGTGGCATTGGGCCACATTACCTGTGTCTCTCTGGGCCTCAGTTTTCCCCTCTGTAGGCCAGAAGCTAACCCTGGGTGGGTGAGGCTGGCCATGCCTCCCACGCCGGTGGCTTGTGTGGCCCGAGGTCACAGTCAGCAGCACCTGAGATGGCAGGGGAGGGTCCAGGACAAAAGTCCCCGTCATCCACCACTTGCCAGATGGCCAGAGGCCTGGGTCTCGTCTGATCCCACCATGGGGGTTGAATCAGATTGCCCATCCCCATGCCTGGGGCGGGGACACTGACACCCAGAGGGGTCAGCATCACGTCCAGGGTCATAGAGCAGTGTCTCCTGGGGACAGGGGTCTCCCTCTCCCCTCCGTATACCTTGAGCCCAGCATGGAGGCAGTGAGCAGTAAACACCGATTGTTGTCACCAGCTCGGTCACTGCTTGGCGCCCCTACTGGGCCTGGGCAAGGCGGTCCTGAGGAGGCGAAATCCAGACTCCCGTCCTGCCCGGCGCAGGGCCCGCCTCCCAGAGGGAGCAACTGTGGGGCCTGGAGGGGCCAGACGTCACCTAGTCCTCACCCACCTGGTTTGCAGCCTCGGCTTGATCTCTAGCTCCTGGGAGCTCACTTGCAGCAGGGGGGAGCCTCTCCCTCCAGCCACAGGAGGTGTCCGCCACCCCAGAGCACATGGCACCCGGCCTCTGTTCACGGCGGGCCCTCTGCTTAGGACACCCCTCCTGCTGCCCCCTTTCCCCGTCACCGTCACCCGAGGCTTCCATCACAGCCGCCACCCCCAGCTTCTGGTAACACACGCCTGACAGCGCCGATGTCTTCTGACCCTTTGGTGGGTGTTCTCCCCTCCCCCATCTTAATGAGAAGAAATCTGCCCAAGGTCCCACAGCCTGGCAGACGCACATCCTGCCTGGGGTTCCAGGCACACTTGCACAAACACGAGCAGGCCTGGCTTTGCCTCCACCAGCTGCCCTGGAGGCCAGGGGCCAGCCGCTCCACCTCCAGGGAGCCTTCCTGGAAGCAATCTTTCCTCTCGGCCCCACACTTGCACCCAGACATTCCTAAGTCCTGGTCCTGGGCTCCACAGACGGCTGGGAGTGGAGGGCGTCGGTTCATGGCCCAGGGCAGCCTCGAATGCAGACTCTCCAGAACAGGATGTTTATCACTTGAGGGATTGCCTTGGGGGGGTGCTGCCTTCCAAAGGTCCTTCAGCTGGGAGACAGAGCTGGAACGGGCAACAGCTACACAGTAGGGTTGGCAGGGGGCTGCCTGGGGTTTTGGAGGCACAAAAGAAACAGCAGGGGTGGGATGGAGGAGAGTTCACAGATTGCTTCCTGGGACAGGTAAGTCCTGAGTTGGGTTTTGTAGGATGAGTAGGAGTCTGCTAGCTACAGAGTAGGAAAAGGAATGAGGAGCCCCGCCCTCACACTCTGTGATTATACGTGTTTGTTGTGGGGGCCTCTGGGGGGTCGCTATGTGGTTTGCTGATGTGGTGGAAGAGTGAGGGACCCTCTGTGGGCACTGGGGACCACTCATACCCAATAAGGCAGGTCATTCCTAGAGTCAGTCTCAGAATTAATCAGGAAGCTGTTGTTGCAGGTGACAGAAACTGAAGCCAAACCAGCTTAGGCCCAGGGGGTTTTATAGCCTTTGACAACCAAAACTCCAGGAGCTGGACCGGCATCAAGTATGGCTGGATCAAAGGGTGTCTTCAGGACTCTGCCTCCCCCCTTTCTGCTGCCTGCTTTCTTCCCTGTGCCAGCCCTTTCAGGCCGGCTCCCACTGACAAGGCGGAGAAGGCCACACCTCCATCCCACTCCCCGACCCTACTCTGCCCCAAACTGGAGGCCAACCCCGAGAATATGACACACAGCTCCTTCAGGCTGGATGCCCGTGCAGGGACCAGCGCTGGTCTGACCCTGGAAGACCCCGGTGAGTGACACAGCCAGGCGGCCCCCGGTGCTGCCCCCTCCCCTCCCCCTGCCCTCCCCCTCCCCGGCCCACAGGCCCCTGGAAGAGCACCCCCCCTACCTCGAGTGCCCCAGCAGCCCTCCCCCGATCCCCTGGGCTCTAGCCTCTCCCCTGGCTAGGGCTGCAGGAGACTTGCCAAGGAGAAAGCTGGGTCACCCCCTCCCACATCCCCCATGGGGAGGGGGAGCCTGGCTGCCCAGTCACCGATGCCCTGTGTCAGGTCCCCTGCCTGTGTCACCATTCCATCTTGTGCCCCCTGGCCACAGCAGACCCTTTGAGGCTCCCTGCCTTTGGCCCGCATCCCCTGCCAGGAGAGCCCCGGCCAGCTGGCCCACCCCTCCAGCTCGTCCCCATGTAGGCCGCCCCTCACGGCCGGGCCAGTGGCCACCATGCCCTGCCCCCACTCCCAAGCACTTAACTTCCAGCTGTGGCACGGCTGTCTCTGGGCAGTTCCCCGAGAACAGGCGTGGGGCAGGCCCAAAGCGGGGGTTGGGAGGCTGGGCACCCAGCAGCAGAGGGTCCACCCATGCCCACCTGTGGCTCTCCGTGCTGTCCTGTCTCTCTGACCACGGGCCCGGAAGGCTGTGAGCCTGCGGCAGCGAGCCTCCCAGCCCCCTGCCGTTTACTCGGTGGCAGCCCCAGAGTGAGTGGGAGCTGCCCCTCCACCTCATGGGGCAAGGGAGATCCGGGGCTCCTGGCCAGCCCACGCAGAAGCACCGTGTTCGGCAGCAGCCAGCTTCCCAGGCACAGCTGGGCCGCTAGGCCGGGACCCAGGCCTGGGGACAGACGCGGGACCTGGCCCCGCAGTAGGGCCTCCGAGGGGCAGTCAGCTCAGGGGGCCGATGACCTTCCCAGGGCAGCCGGTCAGACAAGGGCCAGAAGCATGCCTGTTGGCTCCTGACCAGTCGCCCTCCCCCGCGTCCCCCGGGACCCACCTTGTGCCAGCTACTTGACCCAGTGGGCTGGGCGCTACTGCCCCGAATCACCCCGCTTAGTCTCAGCCTCTGGGTGTTTTCAGGGCCAGGAGACAGAGGCTAGGCAAGATCAACCCAAGGTCACACGGCGGTGAGTGACAGAGCTGGGGTTGGAAGCATCTGTGGCCCCAGCCTGCATTCTCCTCTCGACACCCGATGCCCCTGTGTGGGGAGATGGCTCCCCATTTCACAGGGGAGGAAGCTGAAGCCCGGGAAGAAGCAGTTCCTGAGGTCAGCGCTGATCAGGAAGAGCACCGGGTCATGGACTCAAAGCCAGCACTTCCTGCCCGCGTACCCCGCCTTTGGATGTGGGCCTCCATAGTCCACCCCCACCCCCAGAGCAAGCGGGTGTCTCTGTCTGGCCTGAACCAGGAGTGTACAGCTTTATCTGGAAGACACTACATCTTGGGGTGATGGCAGCGGCATAGAGCCCGCCAGGGCAGGCAAGCCCCTGGGGAGCTCGGCTTCAGAGAGAGAGCTTTGCAGTCAGTGTAGATCATGGAGGGAGGGAAGGAACTCTAGGCAGGGAGGGGAGGAGGTGCGTCGAGGGTCCATGAGCAGCTGAGAAGACGGGGTTGCTACCTGCAGGGCACAGAAGTCGTGGTGGGTCAAATGGGGAAGAGTAATCCAGAGCCACACCTGTCGTCACGAGACATCCCCTGAGCTCTCCCTGTGGCCCTGCAGGCCCATTTCAGGGACTGTGGTGCTGAGTGACACCAGGGAGCATTGCAAGGAAATCCCTACGTTCAGGGAAAAGCAGATGAGGAGAAGTGGGGGTACGTGGTTTGGGGACATTGATGCTTCTAGAAGGAGTTGTCCAGCATGAGTGTGGTTTTGGGGGCCAGGGCCGGGGCCAGGTCCCAAATTCAGAAGGTAGTGTGAGTGGCCCCAGTGGCCAGGGTGGCCAGGAGAGGGCCCGTGCCAGAAGCATCTTCGTCTGGCTTCTGGATCCTGCTTTCACATCCATGCCCAGCCCCAGGCAGGCCGGGAAGGTAAGTCCAGGCCCCTGAGTCGGGGTGGGGGGGCTTTGGAATCTAGGCTGTGTGTGTCTGGCACCTGAGGCCTCGCGTCCGGCAGCAGGATCCAGACTCCTGGGCGGCCTCGGGGTCCACAGCCAACCCCCCCACAGGACAGGAGATTTGCACACCCTCAGCTCTGGCGTCTGGGTCCAGATCACCTGTGAGGCTGCACGCAGGGAGGGACCCGGTGTTCCCCACCCTTCAGAGGGGCTCAACCTTGGTCTGTTGATGTCCAACCAGACCCAACCTGGGATTTCATCTTGTAGTTGACTTTCTCCATGGGCCTGGTCTGCACTGGCTGGAGCTGTGAGCAGTAGCCGTCTCTCTGACCGCAGCCGGTGGGGTCCTGGCACCTGGGGAGGCTGGAGGTCCAGGGGTTTGTCAGAAGGAGCTGGGCCTCACACAGCCCTGGGGGCACACACCACTGACCTGGCCTCGTGGTGGAGCTGTTTGCCCAAGGGCTGGCTACCGGCCAGGGCCTGGCTGGGGGGGACTGGAGACGCTCAGGGTCAGGGGAGCAGCGGGGTCGGGAGGTGATGCGGACAGACTGTTACGGGAACAGCCCTCCCTGGAGCCACTGGGCTGAGGGCCCCACTCAATGTCCGTGTGACATGGCCACAAGAGTCCAAAGGCCGGGTCAAGGTCAGGGCCGGCCAGGGCTAGAAGCCAGGGCTCTTATGCCATGCTGAGCCCCCTTCCCGGCAGGAGGCCACAGCATTCAGGACTGGGCCAGTATGAGGTTGTGGTTTTCTACTGTTATGGGGAAGCCAGCCCCAGGCTGTGTTAGCTGTGGGAGTGGGGGCCAGGGTGTGGAGTGGCTAGGAGGTAGCGTGAGCCTGAGGACCTTACTCTCTCGGGGCTGTGTCTTTTTGTTGTTTTTTTTTTTAAGATTTTATTTATTTATTTGTCAGAGAAAGAGAGAGAAAGAGAGACAGGGGGAGGGGCGCCTGGGTGGCTCAGATGGTTCAGCGTCTGCCTTTGGCTCCGGTCATGATCCCAGGGTCCTGGGATCGAGTCCCGCATCAGGCTCCCCGCTCCTTGGGAGCCTGCTTCTCCCTCTGCTTCTCTCTCTCTCTCTCTCTCTCTCTGTCTCTCATGAATAAATAAATAATAAAATCTTAAAAAAAAGAGAGAGAGAAAGAGAGGGGGAGAGAGTGGAGCGCACACACAAGCAGGGGGAGAGGGAGAAGCAGGCTTCCCACTGAGCAGGGAGCCCCATACGGGACTCGATCCCAGGACCCTGAGATCATGACCTGAGCCGAAGGCAGACGCTTAACTGACTGAGCCACCCAGGCGCCCCTCAAGGCTGTGTCTTTTAAAACAGCTCCCACTGTGGGAACAGCAGGCAGAGTGTACATTCCAAGGGCACAGGAGGGGTCGGGAGCCTCTCATCTCCCACCTCTACCTGGAGAGTCAACGGGTGGACACTTCCTCTGGGTGACCTCCTCCCAGAGAAAGCTGCGAGAATTCCCAAATTCTTGCAATCTGGGCACGAACCTGGATCTCCTCCAAGATGGAGAAGATGACCAAATTCAGCTGGAGCAACAGGGGCCAGTGTTGAAGGCCAGAGCGGGGGCCCAGGACCCAGCGAGGAGCCTGGAGGAGGAGGTCTGGAGAGGCCGGTGTCCGGAGTGAGGAAGGAGAAGCCAAGTGTGTCCCAGACACGCCTGTGGGAGAATTGGGGCAATCACAGGACAGAGGCAGAGTGGGGACAGCAAGGGACGGTGACCAGCGCCGGCCGACTGGCCACCCACACCACCTGCCCCGGCCTTCTCCCAGAAGGAGCTTCCGAATTCCCAGCAGGCATGGGCCTGGTGATAGGGCTCAGATCAGGGAAGGAAAAAATAAATTCTTTGTGCCGCACAAACTGTTGCCCTTTCCCACGAGCGCTTACAATTCTGGCTTTGTTTCCGGGGAAGCAAATGATAGAGAGACTCATGGCTGTTCTGTTCGCATTATGGGGGAGCCTTAAAAAGGAACCCCCCAGAACTGGGGGGTGGGGGAAGGGCGCCAGCTGTGAGTTCGGTGGCCAAACGGGGGGGGGGGGGGGTCACCAGGGGAGGGCACCCCTCAGAGGCTGGCCTGGAACAGGCACCCTCGCTGGGGTGGGGACACTTACCTGGGAAACTGGAAGATGGAGCTCCCCCAAGGACAGCATGGCAGCAGGCTCTCAGAATGGGCTAGAAACCAAGAAACACAGGCAAGATGCCCTCAAGGGGGAGAAGTTGGGAAATGAGCAACAGAGACGGTCAAAGGTGCTGGCAGCCTTGTCCTGGGAAGCCTCCTGCCCTGCTGACCTTGGCTTTGCACCCAAGGTCTTCTGATCTGAGCAGACCATGGGTGAGCGGAAGGCAGGACCCGGCCCAAACCAGCAGTTCTCCCCAGGCCTGAATTTGCCTCCACCTCCACCACTACCTCGACTCTCCACAGCGTTGCCCGAGAGAGGACGTGAAAACTCACATGCGTGCACACGCAGGGACATGAACACACACAAATGGGCTCACACATGCAGACGTGAACGTGCTCCACACGAATATATGCAGATGCACACACAGAAGCAAACACACGTGCACACACGTGTGTGCTTGCTCACGCATACAGGCTTTTGTGCATGCTGATGCACACATGCGAGCACACACATGCACTCACATACATGCATGTTTGCACTCGGAAGTGCACCACACATAGTCACCGGGGTGGCGCGCACACACACACGTATATGCACGGTCACAAGCATGCACACACACACATATGCACACGGTGGCAGGCGGAGCCCTGAGCAGAGCGGGTGTGTGGTCTCCGCTCCCTGCTCTACCAGGGGCCTGTCCCATATGCTGAGTCCCATAGCCCCCTCCCAGCCTTCTTGCTCCTCTGCTGGAGGAAGCAGTAAGCCAGGGTGTTGGGGAGCTCCCAGCTCACCCCAGCAGGATGAGCTCACTCAGGTGCAGTGCCTGGCTTCCAAGGGCATCTCCCTCCCGCCGCGGGGGGCTCACTGTGCCCACCCCGGCAGCTGGGGAGAGGTGGCTCAAGGTCACATGGCCTGCCGAAGCCAATGTTCTTGTTGTTTTGAAATAAATACCTCTGGGGCGCCTGGGTGGCTCCGTCGGTTGGGTGTCTGCCGTCGGCTCAGGTCATGATCTCCAGGTCCTGGGATCGAGCCTTGTGTCAGCTTCTCTGCTCAGCAGGGAATCTGCTTCTCCCTCTCATACTTCTGTGCATGCTCTCTCTCAAATAAATAAATAAAATCTTTAAACAAAAGTAAAAAAAGAAAGAAATACCCCTTCCATTCTACGTTGACAGAGACAAATGGAGGCTTTGAGACAGCCAGTGGGGAGAAATTCTGATTCTCTCTCTAGTCCACCTCGTCGGCCAGTGGATGACTCACTATCCAACAAGTGCACATTTCAGCATCTCTGTCTTCCCAGGATGGGGGAGGACATGACCCTAAAGAAAACTCAAGTCTCTTTCCTGTAAAGCAGTGAAATCCACGGCAAAGCCCGGTGGTAGCATGGTGGGAGAGCCCCACCTCCCTGCCCTCCCATCCCCCACCGCCGGGCTGCACCTGGGTGCCCTCTGCGTGTGCAACACACACTGCGCTCTGGAAAGGGTGATGGACGGGTGGAGGGCGTCCTGCCCACTGACACCCTCCTCAGCTGCACAGGAGGTTCCAGAAACATTGCCACGACCCACATCACCCAGCATTGGCCAGGAGGTATCGTGGCAACAGTGAGCAGTGAGCCAGGAGGCGGGGCGCCAGCAGCTTCGAGGCCACCCAGCTGGCTGGTCCCCCTCTGGGCTTCCGTCTCCTCACCTACATAAAGGGGCAGGGGGTGTTGACCCAGGACATCTCCCTGGGGCCTGGTGCTGCAGGAGCCTGGCGGGGTCCCGGGAAGTTCCTCCCGGCAGGCTGGGTGCAGGGGCTCTGGGGTACAGACTGGCCTCCCCTCCGGGGCAGCATATGGACCATAAGGAGCCCCAGCAAAGCAGCCCCAGGCAGGGTGGCGTGAGGCTGCCTGGTGGCTTGTCAGGCCGGGGTCGCTGGGCTGCGAAGGACCTGTGAAGGGCCTGCCTCCAGGCCCGTGGCCAGGAAAGCCTGACCCCCTGGGAATTGGGAGAACCTCCCAGATGTAAGCCTCCCCCCAGCACTTCTCAAAGCCCCACCCCGAGGAACTTTCAGATGTGACCTCGCTGACCCTTCCAGCAGCCTGACGAGGCAGTACGACCATTATCCCCTCTTTACAGATGGGGAGACTGAGGCACACGGAGAGCTGACATGATTGGCCCACGGCCCCTCAAATGGCAGAGGAAGTCTGCTCCCGTGGCCGTGATCTCGACCACCGTGATGACACAAAACAAGCCCCCCACCCAAGATGTCCACGTCCTGAGACCCAGAACGTGAAGAAGTTACTTTGTGTGGCAAAAGGAACGTCGCGGATGTGATTAAGTCAAAAATCTTGAGATGGGGATAGGATGGTGGATTTCCTCACGGTGTCCAGTGTCGTTGCAAGGGTCATGAGAAGAAGAAGGGGGCCAGAGTCAGAGACTGGATGGGGTCAGGCTGCCGGCTTGGGAGGTGGCGGAAGGGGCCGTGAGCCCAGGAATGCAGGCAGCTTCTAGGAGCTGGGGCAGGTCAGGACACGCCAAAGGGAGCTCAGCCCTGCCAGCCCCATGGGACCCACATCAGACTCTGACCTCAGCACTGGAACATTAAGTCTGGGTTGTTTTTAGCCACAAAATGGGGTCATTTGTTACTGCGGCCACAGGACACTCATACAATTACTGGGTTCTTGAGCTCCTTTCCGTGTTTCTCCAGGGGCTTTGTCCCCCCCCCATCTCCGTGGATACAAAATGAGCACTACCGTGTTGGGCAGTCAATGGGACTAGGCTTTCTTACCCAAGCTCCTCCTCCCATGAACCCTCAGGAGGAGGGGAAGGGGGAGAGGTCTCTCAGCATCCACCTGTCTGCAAGGCTTGAGGATTTTCCTAACGGGACCCCTGCCTGCCTGGCATCTCCCCTTCCATGGTGTCTTCCTATCAGGTGGGGAGGGGGACCCAATTTTACCCTGGTCTGAGCACACTCCCTTCAAACACCCGCCCCCAGGCCCCAGGAAGGATTAGGAGGTGGTGAGGGCTGCAACTCGATGAAGACTCTAAAAACCCTAGAATTTAAGAGCATGAATTTTATGGCATGTGAATATACTGCCCTAAAGCTGTTATATTAAAAAAAGAAAAGAAACACTCATTTGCAGAATTTTGGTGCAATGTCAAAGAATACTCACGATTAACCTGAAACCGCTATTAAATGCTTTCTCTCTCCCCCTTCCGGTGGGAGGCTAGGTTTTCTTCACACACGTTTGCAGCAGATCAGATGCAGATGCAGAAGCAGACGAGGAGCCAGCCACCTGCCATTAAACCAGACGTTCAAGAGCCTTGCAAAAATGTTTTAAAAAATTGGAGGGGGCTTTGAAAAATTTAATCACTTCGTAAAAGTGTTGTATACGTTCCCAAATACAGGGCTTCTTATTTTTATATGAATTCATAAATATTTAAAGCTTTTTTTCAATTTTAATTCTAATACCAGAAATATCGACAAGTATAGCCCACAGGAGCAAAATATATTGGGGTTCTCAATAGCTTTTAAGAGTAGAAAGGAGTCATGAAACCAACATCTTTGAGAACGGTCATCCTACACAACCACCACTTGATGGAAGTTAACACCAAGGGGACCCTAGGCTACAGATCTCATTCTGATTCCACCAAATGTTCCAAAATCTCTTACAGCACCTGAAAATCCTGAAGGGGAATTGGGGGGTTAGTGTTCAGGGGTACAGAGTTTCTACTGGGAAAGAGCAAAGGAAACAGACCATGGTAATGGTCTCACAGCAAACCATACACTTAGAAATGGGAAATTTGCTGTTATGTTTATTTTACCACCACAACAAAAAAATTACAGTGTAAAAAATAAATTAAAAGTGTATTCAGGGGCGCCTGGGTGGCTCAGTTGGTTAAGCGACTGCCTTCAGCTCAGGTCATGATCCTGGAGTCCCGGGATCGAGTCCCGCATCGGGCTCCCTGCTCGGCAGGGAGTCTGCTTCTCCCTCTGACCCTCCCCTCTCTTATGTGCTCTCTCTCTCTCTCATTCTTTCTCTCAAATAAATAAATAAAATCTTTAAAAAAAAAAAGTGTATTCAAACATAGTAGCATATGCATCATAATAAAAACAAGCAAAATTACAGAGCACATATGTGATATATTTCACTATAAAATAATATTGCAGTATGAATAAACACAATCACTAGAGAGCTTTATGCACAAAATAGCTGGGCATTGTTAAATCCAAACATGTAGGAGGTAACATACCCAAAAAAGGGTAATTTTTTAATGCCATCGTTTCTGTTGTTATTTGTATTTATAACCTCAGATAAGATCCTAATTCCCAGGAAGCTTCCAGTCTGGTGGAGATAGACTAGTAAACAGACACGTATGACCCAGGAAGATCAGCAGAGGTGCCGGGGCTGGTGGAGCACGGAAGAGGACGAGTGCCCGGACAGGGGAGATCAGAGAGGACTTCCCGGAAGAGGCGGTATCCCGCACGAGGGAAAGCTAGTGTGACACATCAGATTGCAAGTGGAGAGGCTGACAGAGAGAGGGGGGTGTGACCCTGGCCGACCCCAGGGGGGTGGGGAGAGGGTGGGACAGAGCCTGGTGGCTGGTGGATAAGGGAAGTGAGACTGGAGGCCCCGTGTGAAAAGACTGTGCAGGCCGGTGGGGGAGGGGTCAGGGCCCGGCAGCCTCTTGACTGGTTCCTGTAGATCTTCATTACCTCTGACTCTTGTCAGTGACCATCCGGGGCAGCCTCAGTACTCCGCACAAGGAAACGGGGGAGCTGAGGGCTGAGGGGATGAGCCAGACTCCCCCTGCAGAGCCGGGACTGGAGCTCAGACTCTCAGCACAACTTTACTGCCCTGAAAAAAAGGGTGATGGGGACAGGGAGCCTCTCGCGGTGAGCCCTGCATCACCCACCCAGCTGTTTGAGTCTTCCTTTCAGAGCGTGTGCCTGGCCCCGGGGGCCCAGTGAGGATCTCATGGGGTCCTGCCCTTTCCCCCAGTCCAGAAAGTTCCAGCTGGACCTCAGGTCCTGCCAAGAGCCTCTCCCTCCCTGCCCCGCCACCGGCCGACCTCTCAGGTTCCCTTCCAAAGGGGTCAGAAGCGACTGGGCAAGGAGGCCCAGGTCTGGGTGGGAACGGGGCGCCTGGTTTCCTAACATCATGGTGCATGAGTGAGGACACGTGAGACAGCCAGGCCCCGGTGCCCGCCGTTCTGTCCGTCTGCCAAAGCGTGCCCCATCCAGTAACCTCTTCACCTGATGCAGGATCTATCACCTCGCTGGTGCCAACAAGAAGCCAGAGCCCACTTCTAGACCAAAGCAGCAAGTGACTGGGAGAGCCACTGGAAGCAAGCTGGAGGGTGGGAGGCCACGGTGAGTGTCCCCTCCCTGGGAGGTGGTGGGGACGGGACGCGGAGCCACCCTTCTACTCCCTGTTTGCAGAAGGCAGAGGTGGGCGGCTTTCTGCCTCGGCCTGGGATGTTCCGGCTGAGAAGGGGAGCTGGTTCCCCCCAGGCCCTGAGCTCTGCTGATACCAGTCCTGGAGGTTGGTCCTGAACACATTCCCAAAGCCCAGAGCACGAGCCCCGCTGAGCATAATTCACCGCAAGTGCTCAGCCCAGAGAGTCATGTGTCTGCTTTCCCCCAGCGAGGCAGGAAAAAATGCCTCCCTCGTGGGCTCTGGCAGCTGGCTCCTGGGACATGTCCCAGTCACACCCCCAAGCACAACTCAGAGTCCCCGGCTGGCAGTGCACGTTTGAGATCAGCCAGCCCAGACTCTCAGTTTACAGTTGGGAAGGGACGCAGGGCGGTCGTGGCTGTCCAAGGTCACGGCGCCCAGGAGGGGAGTCGGGGGCACAGTGGAAAAAGCAAGGACACGTGAGCCGGCCCTTTGGGCACCCGGGTGGGGCCTGGGGCTCCCGGGTTTGCGTCTCGGGGTGATGGCTCAGCCCCTCCAACCTCAGTTTCCGCAACCGGGAGCCGGGGAGAGGCAAGCTGCCTACTTGAGGCTGAGCAGTGCTGAGTGCAGAGTGCTCTGTGCACGGCGGGCACGTCATCCCCGACCTCTCTAGGTGGCCAAACAGGGAGGGAGGTAGGCGCCTGACCCTCTGCCCGGGAAGATCGGCAGCGAGCTGCTTTGCTCTGGACCAGCACCGCTCCTAAGGGACACGCTCAAAATCACTGCTTAGTGAGGGACCACTGCCCCTGTGCCAGGCAAGGTGGGGACACACCAGCATCAGGGACAGCCAAGTCCCCGTGCTTAATGTCAGAACCAGAAGACAGACCAGGATCACCGATGACCTGAAGTAACAATTTAAGCTTCTGTGTCTAAGCTCAGACCAGGGTATTAGGAGCAGGTCTCTCTCTCTCTCTCTCTCTCTCTCTCTCTCTCTCTCTCGAAATAAGTAAAACGTTTTGTATTTTTAAAAATCCCTTGCAAATGATGATAAAAACCTCTACAAGTGGCCAAAATAGTGGAGAACCTCCAGGCCAAGCTTGGGTGGGTCAGCCACTTTTGCCCTGAGGCCCTTTGCCATTATTTGGAGAGTTTGGGCCTTGACCTTGACGGGGAGGGGCATGTGAGGATAGAAGTCAAGGTACCAGGTTTCTAATGGGAGATTCCCCCTCGTGTGAGGCTGGAGGCCCAAAGGCCACACACCAGGGACTCGGGAAAAAGGAGGCGTGGGGGAACTTTCTGGCAACTCTGCAGGGGTTGGAGGAGGAGGTCAGCGCCAGGGTCGCTAGCTGGTAAAACAGGAGTCATGTTTGGAAAGGGCCAGCTCAGTCCTCGGCACCTACCTAGCCATCACTAGAGTGTGTTTTGCGGGTGAGGGAGGGTGGTTGTAAAGTTAAACTCAGCACTAACCCTTGCTTCCACCTGGAGAAAGGAAGCGATGGGTTTACAGTCCCCCCCACCCCCCCCACCCCCGTCTGTCTTTCCCACCAGCCATCCAAGAAGACCGCCCGCCCGGCTGCTGGTCTGGTGTCCTGCCCCACGCCACCATCCCCTTCTAGGGCTCGTTCCAGTGACTGCCTTCACATATGTGTGGACTTCAGCTCTCTTTCTGCCCCCAGCCATCTCCTTCCCCTGCACCCCCCAGGCTCCCAGGCAGAGGGAACTCCCCCCCCCGCCGCCCCCAGGCTGGGCTCCCCTACCCCCAGGATGCCCGATGGCATGGGAGCCGGCCCCCATGTGGGTGTAACTCCTGCAGGCTCCCAAGGCAGTCACCCACACCCTGCTCTGTCGATTTGTCAAAGATCAAAATCGGGCCCTGGCGGAGGATTGTATATTCCATGCTGCAAGTCTCAACACAAACCGGAATGTTGACTTGCAAATAAATATCACAAGTAAATCTGGAGGAGAGAGCTAGCCGGGTACAAAAAGACTGGAAAAATGTCAGGAGGCCTTCGCAACGTGCTGTGTGTTTATCAGTAAACAGAGCTTGTGGGGGCCAGGAGGTCCCGGACTTTGGGCTTTCCAAACCGACAACATGTTCAACAGTTTTGGGGATGGACCTGGGGGCCGCCGAGTCAAAACACACCAGTCCCTATCAACCATTATCAGCACTTCACCTAAGACACTTTTTTTTTTTAAGATTTTATTTATTTTTGACACCGAGAGAGAGAGAGAGAGAGAGCACAAGCAGGGGGAGCAGCAGGCAGAGGGAGAGGGAGAAGCAGGCTCCTCGCGGAGCAGGGAGCCGGATGCGGGACTCGATCCCGGGACCCTGGGATCATGAGCTGAGCTGAAGGCAGATGCTTAACCGTCTGAGCCACCCAGGCGCCCCTCACCTAAGACATTTTTATTAAGAAAAGGCATTTTCAATAATAACCCAAGAAGGTAAAGGACATACTCTCAGGGAGAAAAAGGATGTTTCTTCAAATTGACTAGTTGACCCTTTACAGGAAACACAAGGTCCTTGCTTCTCTTCCCCATCTTGCTGTAGACCCTCTGCCCGGGAAGATCGACAGCGAGCTGCTTTGCTCTGGACCAGCACCGCTCCTAAGGGACACGCTCAAAATCCCTGCTTTTTGGGACAGGGACACTTGGCATGCATGGCCTGTCCCTGCAGGGGAGTGGGGACCACAGTCCACTCCCTCATTTTAGTGAAAGCCAGGGCCTAAAGCCAGGGCCTAGAGGTGCCGATAGAACGTCCTGGCCCATACCTTGCACATTTATGGAGCCTCGTGGGTTCTGGCTCCTGTGCTGGGCACCCGGGAATGACGAGCTGGGGGAGGCCGGCCCTGTTCCAAGGAGCTCTCTCCGGAGGCTCACAGCCAGGGCCGAGGGCCTGCAGACTACTCGGGCTCAAGTTCATGCTGCCTCGATGAGCTGGAAGGACTCATCCGTAAAAGGCAGAAGCCAGGGTAGACCTGAGGGTCGCATGAGTGAGCAACAGATAAGCACTTTGCCTGGTGTCAGAGAGGTTTGAGGCCTCAATGGAGGCCGGCTCATCTGAGTGCTGAGGCAGGCAGGGGAGAGGCACCTTTTAAGACAGTGCTCAACTAGACAAATGCTACATGGGAGAAGGTGGCAACCCAAGAAGGAGGGCGGCTTTGCCGGTGGGATGGATGCCAAGCAGGCTTCCTAGAGGAGGTGACCCTTGGCAGAGCCCTCGGGCAGGTGGTCACCAAATCTCGACTATGACCTACCTATCAGGTCCTCTCCCTGCACTTCCTACATGTTCCCTGCTAATTCTCTCCCCAGGGCCCGTGGAGATAAGCACCGCTGCCCCATTTTATAGATGAGGAAATTCAGTCAAAAGGTCATTTGTCCAAGGTTCTATAGTATGAGTCAAAGGTAGAGCCAGGTTTTGACTCTACGTCTGCTTGATTCCTAATCCCAGGTTCTGCCTCCTAGTTTCATGAGGGAAATTGGGGGTGTCCCAGGCAGAGGTAGTGATGGGCCTATATATCTGTATTTCCTATGCATTTGTGGGTGAACATGCTGTGTCTTCTGTCTACACTCCCCCTGACCTTGCCCCCCAGCAAGAGTACACTTCACAGTTGGGATCCCTACCCGGGTCAGAGAATTGCGAATCCCATCTTCAGCAGAGTGGACTATCCTTATCGACCAAATGCATCTCTACATCATGCTTTACGGTGAGGCTCTCACCTACTGGGTCACACGGGTCCTGAAGCTCCAAGCCCATGCCCTAAACTGGACAAAAGACGTCAGTGATGCAGCCCCTGTCCTAAGGAGCTTAAGCCCCCCGGGGATGGAATAGCGTGTACTGGTGGGGAGGGTATCTTACTCTTGGGAAGGGAGAAGATGGCCAGCCTTGCTACAGGCGGGCTGTCATGGGCTTCTCAGGCACGGTTGGTTATCTCAGGTTAATTATCAAAGAGGTAGAATGTCTAGGGCAGCAGGAGTGGCTGGGCCTACAGAAGTTTCCAGAACCTGCAGGCCTCATGTGAGTGCCTAGCTTTAC